TGTGTACTGCAAATGTCCTTGGTGTCAGTCTATGTGGTATTGTGTACTGTGATGTATGTGTTTGTGAACGGTGGGATGTACTCAGAATCCCGGGGGAGCGTAAAACCCCAACAACTGCGTTCATCAGTTGCCCTTGCGGGTTATTATTATTATTATTATTATTATTATTATTATTATTATTATTATTATTATTCCATATTATTAATCTCGCCTCGTTGATGTTTTCACTTCTATCGTGTGGTCTAAACAATACATATTAGTTTTTTTATTGTTTTCCCATGAAGAACCGTGGTACAGAACCTTTTTATCAAATTATTAACATCCTCCGTAAACTACGTGAATAGCTTCATCTCTCCGTAACCTACAACTATTTTATTTACGAAAAACTCTCGACATTGGGACTTTTCAATCTAGAGATGCCGATAAATAAGGTAGGAACTTCCAAAAGCGTTCTTGAAACTTCAGCTTCACGGAATATGTGTATTTATAATCAGATTATTGGTTTATTATTTTAAATAATGAAACATTGTGATCGACCAAAAAATTCAAAAACCTAACTCCCCCTCAAAATTTGAGGTTTCACGTTTCAAGATGCGTAGAATTCGAAAAACGAATAAAAATTTTTTTGTCCGTCCGACGTCCGCGTGTTTTCTCCGAAACTACTGGACCGATTTTTTTTCCAAATTTTGATATAAAATCAGAGGTCACCCGAGGATGATCCTCCTTCATCGACATTACTCTCCGCCTTTAACTTTCAAAATGGCGGCCGAAAAACCTGCGTTGCTATAGACTGTAGCTCCTAAACGAATGTTAAATTAAAATGTAATTAATGTAAAATTAAATTCCGAATAACTCGAAAAGTTTTTACTTTTTTGTTGATATAGTTTTTTTAAAAGTTTATGAAATTTCCTAAAAAACAAAAAAAAATCGTTAAAATCGGACAATTAGGAGCAAAGATATGGTCTCTGGTTTTTTTTTATGTGTCTACTTTAAATGTTATATCCTTGGTTTGGTTTTTAAATTTTAAATGTGTTACTGAAATAATGCTATTTTTTTTTATCATATTACTAATGATTAAAGAATAACAGTTTAGTCTAATAATTGGAATCACCTTTTGTTTTTTTTTCTTTGTAACTCGGAAGGTAATATTACTTTAGATTTATAATTGTTTGTAGATAATAAACCATTGTGAAATCATTTGCAGCGTTTTTTTATTTATGTCTGTTTTGATAATTAACAATTCAATAAGTAAATATTTCCTTTTTTATATGGTTTATTGCAAAAAATCACCATGTCGATTTAGATAGAGCCCAACTTTTCTTAAAGCTTTGAATTTCGACATTATTATTTTTCGAAGCAAATACATCAAAACTAAACAAACCTTATTATATTTCAAAAATATGTACAATATGTAAACAATGTTCTGATTCGCCTTTTGGGATACGGAAATAATGAAATATAATCAAACCCCCATTCCGCCGTGAACAGATTTCGCAGACCACTGCTTAATAGATCGCCTTTGGTGTTCTTGAAATCCCGGTACACAGAGAATGGAATCTTTCCTGGTAAACTTGCGTTTTAATTGTACATTCCTAGATATTCCACTATTACTTTCAGAATACGATCTTCTCCAGGAATTATATAACGATAATTAATTAAAAAAAAAAAAAAAGAAACTATCTACCTAGACGAAAAGATGTTGAAGTGATTCTTGAAATCCTACTGAATGTAATTACACGAACAATAACATTTTAATTTATAATTTTTAATATTTTTTACCATTAAACACGGTTAAATTTTACAATTTGCAGGAGGGATTCTTCAGCCTGAAAATCCCTCCCCTCCCCTTACATCTGCCTGTTATTCCTTATCTTTTATTTTAAATAAACAAAAAAAAATGTAAAACAACTCTCTATGGAAAATTCTGCACTGTCATTGGACATCTGTAGTTTAATCTTTCAGAATGTTTGTACAATGAGTCACTTATTTCTCGGAATAAATAAATAAATATTTTATTATGTAACTGAATACACTCAACTCTTCATTACTTATAAAATGTCAAAACCAGAAGTAGTTCAATCAATGAATTGCATTTTCAGCATTGCATTGCACCAGGATTGAAGATAACTAGTTAGTTTTGAAAGAAAAGTTATAAATTTAGTAATAATGTGTATTGATTGTGTCTTGAAAATTTACTAATTGTTATTTATGGACTATTTACTATAATTTGTTTCGTTTCTCCATATTTTGGCTCATACATTATTCAAAACAATGATTGAGCCTTCATTTCGAAGATTACCTTCGTCAGTAATGCAGATAAATAATCACATACCCAAAAAAATTAGTAAAAAAGTCATGAACATTACAAAAATGTATTCACGCATAACACATAAAGTCCAACTTGTCTTTGTAAATGATGAATTCCAAGCACAATGAAAAAAAAAATCTTCTAAATCTGACCATTATTAGCAATTATACAATCCATTGAACTTCCAATAGTCAATGTAATGCGATCAATCAAATAGTCAAAACATAAAGGCTAATTTTAATTAATCTATTTTGCCTATGCACAATAACATCATTCAGCTTCTGGTAGCCTAATACAGCATTACCATCCAATTTGTTATTAAAAAATACTTTTTAATTATTAGTAGAATTTTAAAAAATTCCTTCTGATTATAATTTCGATCAATATAACAGTTAAATAAAACAGACTCTTTTGTCTTTTTTCACCCTGGAAAAAATTCTATCCCCGGAAATATATATTAAAATATTTGTACTACTGAAAATATATTCGTTTTAAAAAATATAATTTAACTGTTTGTCTTCGCTTCTAAATGTTTGAAAGAATGTTCTAAATCTTTGAAAAGCTATTTTTTCTAGAAACTAATAATAATTTAAACTTTTATAAATTAAATTAACATAAATTAAATATAATTTAGTCTTTTAAAAGTTTTCATTTTTTTTTAACTTTAATTTTTGTTAAAGCTTGGAAAATTAAAAACATATAATCCACAAAATTACCATATTATAATTGTAACATCATGCAGCAATTTAAAATTTTAGTCAAACAAATTTAAATTTGTTAATAAATTTAATTGATAACAAGCCCAACTTGACCATAAATTACTTTCAACTCAAAGTAGTGTGATAGATAAAATGTATGTAATGCGCCACAATAGATTTTCACGTTATACATATTTCCATCATGATAATAAATTTATAGCACCTGTATTCCTCATATCTATCCTTTTTACATTTTTTTTAAGGCACTCTAATATATCAAGATACATTGTTACTAAGTTCTCTAATATAATTTTTAAAAATGTATATAAAAGAGAATATATCTGTACTCCAGAGGTAAAAGAAACCATGTCACATTTTTAATTTGTTCAGGGGAACTAATTTTACATAAATTTGAGCAATTACAATTTGTTTCTTAGTTACTAAATTATTTAATAAAAAATGGATAACTTTTCTTTTACTTACAGGGCACAGATATTTGAAATAAAATTATGAAAGAAATAAAATTATGAAAAAAGTAAATTAGAGATATATTTTTGAAAGGTGAAATTGTAAAGAAGAAACGTCGGCAAGCACAATAAACATAATTTTTTTTATTGCACATTGTGTTGTCACCATTTTTCATCCCTCAAAAATAAATTATATATAATTAAGAATATTTGTTACAGTATTTATTCTCCCAATATCATTTCCACTCAACTACATTATGACGTTTCGGGATCCACTTTTATATCCCATCTTCAGACAGCATCCTATATCATCTTATTCTCTATAAGGTTTTGTCATATTATATTATTTTTTATTGTCATATTCCTTGAAAATCATACATTAGTCTCCTCTAGGGAGCTTAGTCAGAGACTAAAATATGATTTTCAAGGAATATGACAATAACAAATAATATAATATGACTAAATCTTATAGAGAATAAGATGATATAGGATACGGTCTGAAGATGGGATATAGAAGTGGATCCCGAAACGTCATGATGTATTGGAGTGGAAATGGTATTGGGAGAATAAATACTGTAACAAATATTTTTACTTATATACCTTGAAAATAAGTATCTCCCTTAGGATTAATGATAAATTATGTATATATTTTTTAATTAAGAAACAAGTATATTGAATATAAATTAAGCCACATTGAGGAACAACAAGTATATCGCTACTGTTAGTAAATATAAATAATAAATAACTTTAAATGTTTACTCTCAGGTGACATTCTGTAGTCCCCAACTGCCATAAGTAGTCTGTTAAATATGAAAATGGCAGAGTAAAATAAAATATTAAATTATACTAATAAATCATAAAGAAATAATTGGTTTTTATTATGCTCTTCTGTAAAAAAATCAATTTTTTTCAACTAACTATAGTGATATATATTTGAGCCTTTCAGTTGACATAATGACTAACTCCAATTTCAACATTTTTGAGTGATGTCATTTTAGTGATATTTCTAGTTGGAAAATTGATATCTGTACATTGAGAGTAAGTCGATTCCAGAATAGGTGATTGCAGTGTTAAAATATAGAAATGTGAATAAAGGTATAAATAGAAATATCAATAAAATTAATAATCAAAAATGTTAAAATTTGATTAGTCATTCTGTCAACTGAAAGTCTCATATGATAATTTAAAAGAATTCTATTCAGTAGGTACGAATCAAATATCTTGGTCAATTATTATTACCGATAATAGTAAATAAAAAATTGTCTACAACCAATACATTAAATATAATTTACAATTAATTACAAGATATTTTTAAATTTAAATACAATTTTTATGTTTTGAAGGTTATATAGTTCCAGTTAGGAACGATAGATGGTAGTACAAGTCAGTATGACGTCACATCTGATTAACCTTGAATTTATCATTTTGTTTTAACATTTAAATTTATGGATGTGTTCACATTTACATCATTTACGGAACGCGAGCTGTTTATTCAAGTCATTTACTTAACAATTATGTCAAAATCGTTCTGATTCGAGCAAAATGTCCATCATAACTGACGCAATAATCGAATTTAAATAAATTAGTGGAAGAGTCCTTGGATTCGTTCAAGATCACGTGAGCCCAATAGCGACTACTGATTTCCAGTTTGATAGCAGTGATAACAGTCAGCTGTTGGAGTCCGCGCTGCTTTGTCACGAACGCTCATCGTTTTTTTTTTTTTTTCCTCTTTGAGCAGCTCCATGAAGGATGCACGTTCCACTCCACATCTTCACGAGTCTCCGAGGTGGATGTCCTGATTTAAGGAGTGTGGCAGAATTTTAAGCAGTTCCTGGTGGTATAGAAGATACCATGGCTGGTGAGAAATCTTTTAAAGAAGTCACCATACCAGTTCCCTGGGGCGATATTCATGGTAAGTGGGAGAGTTGTGTGTTATTGGGTCATACCTGTGCTTCTTGACCTGATTGTGATGTTGTTTTTTTTTACCAACGTTCCTCCGTTTATTAATTAACGAATCGTTTATCAATTCATCAGGGAAACTGTGGGGACCCGAAGATAAACAACCTATTATTTTTCTTCATGGATGGCAAGATAACGCTGGTTCTTTCGATCCATTAGTCGCTTTATTACCTGAAGATATAGCCGTACTCTGCATAGAATTTCCTGGCCATGGATTTTCTTCGCAGTATCCCAAGGTATGTACTTTTTCATTTTTCATGTTCTAACTACTTGAAAGAAATCTTCATTTTTGCAATTCAAAAGTTATGGTACTATTTCATAAGTGTCACTCCGATATGATGATTGGACCAAGATTACATTGATCACATTAGATAGAAATCCTAAAAAAGGAGTACTTCTTAAAATTTAGATAGGAGGACAATTGGATTTTAAGGCCTCAAATTTTACTGAATTTCATCAATTTTTTTTAATTTTTTAAACAACTTAAAGTAAAAATTCGCATTATAATTAAAGCAGTGATATTTATAATAACCTCTATTCAGAATCATAAACAAAATTATCTACTTACATATTGTTACAATATATTGTAATAGAAATGATTTTATGTTTGTGGTTACAAAATTAATAACTTTGGAAAGCAGTGATCTAATGTGTGATTGATGTGATCTTGACCATGTTGGAGGATTATTACAGTTTTTTTCAAAAATACCTATGTCTTTGTTGTTTGGCCATGATTACTTCCAATTAACAACAACTGAATTTATTTGTTGTATTATCAAATTGCATGTTTACAAGTCAACGTTTCCGGATATTTATTCCCATCTTCAGAACCACAATCCCAATGATCTTGTGGATACATGCCTTAAATCTAATGTGCTCCATCGTCAGGTTCTAATTCAAGTTATAACAAATCAAGGTATATAACATCCAGAGCAACATCTTTCTTTTAGACTAATTATTGGGTGTCTGCCTGCTGGACAGTCTAAAAGCAAAATGTTGCTCCTTTAACTTGTTAACATGCAATTGGATAATACAACAAATAAATTCAATTGTTGTTAATTGGAAGTAATCATTGCCAAATAACAAAGAATATCATACAACTTCCCAGGAAAAAGAAAAAAAAACAAAAATACCAAAGTAACATTGTGAAATAAATCGTGATGTTGTCTTTCTTGATTTTGCAGGGACAGATGTACTATCTGTTTTGGGATGGCCTTTATATTACAAGACGTGTAGTTAAACATTTCGGTTGGAAATCTGTCTCTATAGTCGGCCATTCGCTTGGTGGAGCAGTCGGATTCATGTACGCAGCATGTTTTCCTGACGAAATAGATAAATTAGTCTCTCTAGATATTGTTTGCCCGAGGGTTTCCAAACCTGAAACACTAGTCAAGAACACTGGACCTTCTATTGATACGTAAGTTTATCCTTGTTGGTGCTACTTTTTCAATTAGATTTTAATATCCTTATAATTTTAAAGAAAAAGTTTTAAAAATTTAAGTAATTATTTATTACGTATTATATTTTAGAAGTGCTATTGTTGTAGTTGTTAGCAAGAAAGTTTATAATATTTGCTGCTAACAGACTGCATTTTAACTTCGTTCCATCTCGTAATTGAATGGATAAAGAAGGTATGGAACATTTATTTATTTTTTTAATTGGGTTAATGTAAAAAATTAAGAAAGTATGTGTCACAGCAACTCTAAGAGCTTTATTAAGCTAGTAATCCATGATACAGACCTCTTTTTATTATACTATATTAACATCCTCTAAAAATTAGTGAATGGTTTCATCTAATTGTTTTTTACTTATGAAAATTCTCAAAAATGGGGCATTTTCTGGTTAAATTAATTAATTTGATGAGTCACTTAAAATTCATCAATAAACATTTACTTTCCATTTAAATCATAATATAATTTGGCCACAAAATTGAGAAAAAAGGTGGCCTACAAAAATATAAGGCCATTTGGCCTAAATAACCTCGTTAGTTTGACATACTGGGGATGGTGATTATGCCTAATATTTTTGTAGAATCCCTTTTTTTTCCCAATATTGTGATCAAATTATCTTACGATTCAAGTGGAAAGAAAATTGATATTCATCTGTTTTTAATACCTCTTTTAATAGACAAAGTTTACTGATTTCTTGATTGAGAACGCGACATTTTCGATAATTTTAGTAATTAAAATAATGTAGATTACAATAAGATGACGCCATTCACAAAGTTTTAGGTGGATATTAATAATTTGATAAAAAGGGTTCTGTGCCGCGGACTGCAGATCCTAGTATGATGAATGAGCTATGCAACATAAATTACCTGATACTACCTGCATAGAATAAATATTATATATTACTTTTTTTTTCTTATGCATGACCATAATCCAAATTTATAAAATTATAAAAAATATAAATATACTGGATAGAAAAATATGAAATTGTTAGTTTATTGCAAAATGTCATTAAATATTATGTACTTGAATGATTTTTCCTTTGTGAAATCCAAATATTATGCTGTTAGTTTTCTATATAATTGTTTGTTTTTTTATAGCTAGATAGAAAAATAAATTTTATTCGGGGACTACATTTCCTTAGAATTTCAATAACGAACTAATACAAAATAAAATACATATCTGGCCAAAAACTAACTTGGTAAAGATTCTAACAATATACACATTAATTTAAATAATAATATGTAAACAAATAAAAATAAAATAATAATAAAATCTCAAAAATACTTACAGTTATAATGGAAGTAAAAAAAAGAAATTAAATGTATATACAGGATGTTTCAGAGCTAAGTGGCCAAACTGCAAAAATGAATTAAGGATCTCAAAACAAGAAAAAAATTTCCTCTAAAGGTATGTCCGCAAATGCTTTATTTAGGAGATATTCACAATTAAAGATTTTCGTTGTTATGAATAAATAAAATTACATTATATGAAATAAATAATTTTTTTTTTTGTTTGGTGTGACATTAAACAAAACTCTATGCAAGTCCCATCAATGACCTTAATTCATTACGAAGAAGGATAATTGAATCTTGTGAAACAATAACACATATTCAGTGCCGTTCTGCCACTCCTGCTGTTGAAGAAAGATGCCGAGCCTGTCTTAATGATCAAGGAAATCAGTTTGAACAAAATTTATTATGAATGTTAATGTTCATAATTTAATATTAAAATAGTTAGAACAAATAAATAGGTTTTATTTATTTAATATAACGTAAATAATTCATAACAACGAAAATTTTTAGGTGTGAATATCAACTAAACAGTGTTGGCGAACATACCTTCAGAGAAAATTGTTTGGAAATCCTTAGTTCATTTTTTTTAATTAAGACACTTAACCCTGAAACACCCAGCATATATATATTTATGTTATATAATATATATATATAATAGTATTAATGTATTTTTATGCATTTCGTGAATTTGTACATTGATAAATATAATCGAAATTCACAAGTATCTAGTAAGAAATTTAGCACAATCAAAACTGCATTGCAAAAAAAACATCTATTTATAATATTTACTTACTATTTATTCTCTCTGGTATTTACAATTTTTTTTTTTTTAAACTTATATTAAAACAAAAATATTTATTATAAAAGTACAAAAATGTTCAAAGTTATTTGCTTTCCACAAGAATTGTGAGATAATTTGATCATAATATTGAGAAATAAAGGTGGTCTACAAAAATATTAGCTGTTTGGCATGACTACCATCCTCAATATGTCAAAATAACTAGGTTATATAGGCCAAACGGACCAATATTTTGTAGGCCACCATTTTTCTTCATTGGGTGAACAAATTATCTTTTAATTCAAGTGAAATGCAAATGGGTATTTAATAAGAAGAGTTATTAATTAATTAATTATTAGGAAATTTCTCAGAATATTCATAAATAAAAAAAGTTTTAGGTTACGATTACATAAAGCCATTCATAAAGTGTTAGATGGATTTTAATAATTTGATCAAAAGAAGTCTTTACTACAGTCTATAAGATTATATACCTTCTTTATCCTATAACCTCTTAATTATGAATTCAAAAGGTATTTTATTTTTTCATGTTGTTAAGTGTAGTGATGTTACGTAAGCCTGAATCGTATGTTTGGATAATGATATGCATGTTTCAGTTGATGGATTTGCCTAAAAATGTTGTGAGTCATTGTTGCACTTTGTAACATTTCATTTGCATTGGTTTGTGGTTTTAATAGAACATCCTTTATTGTCAATGCCATATAATTATTGTCGTAATTGTTTCATATTTTATTTAATATTCACTCAATGATAATAATGATATTAACTCATTGTGTCTATTCATTATGAATCTCTTAACCTTGGAATACTAACGTACCCAGAATAAGTGCTTTTAAAAATGTATGTTGTACTGACATATTTAGATTTTTTTTTTTATATTTATGTTAAATGAAATGAGATATACTTGTTATAATGAATAAATTTTATTTCATATTACATTTCTTAATAAAATATCTAGTGCAATATATCATAAAACTTTCAATAAAGATCAATTTTTTAGCTTCTTTTTTGTGTTCCCCCATTCCTCGCCTTTTAGGCTATATGGGTCATTTATTTCCAAAGTGAAATTTTTCTTCAATTGTAAAAATTTTCTCATCACTAAACAAAATCTTTCGATGATTGCCATTGGTGTAACGGCCAAGGAGCACTTGACATCTATCCGCTCTAATTTTTTTAGAGAAGTGGTTAGCCTTTATCCTCTCATTCTTCAAAATGCACCCATCCTGATATCACTTTTTATTATGCGAGACATTTATCTGACAGAGATTTCCATTTCTTGAGACATAATTTTTGTTTTCGAATGGGATTTTTTCTGATTTGAGCAGCCACTGCTCTCACTGCATTTGCTGTTCTCACATTTAGGGAACGGCCGAGGTTGAGGTCTGTCACTTACAGATAGGGTATCATTATATCTATTTATAGTGTAGTACATGAACATGCGTTTGATACTTAAAGGTTTCAAAGTGTTGAAAATCTCTGACCTACATTTTCCAACAAGGCGATCACAGCTATTCAGTTTTCTTTATCACCCCACTCCATGTTAACTGAGAGAAAGATAAATACAAACTAATTGGGATTATTATTCTGACATGTAATAAAAATGACCTGATAGAGGTAAGGGTTATCTAAAAAATACCCAAGATTGTAAACAAAGTTCAACTTTTGTAACAGTATTTATGGCAGAACTAGATATATCCAAATGGTTTGTTTAAATATTTTCAAGTATATCCATTTGCTCATTAATTTTTAATTTCATATTTATTTTTAAATATTAAATATTATATTTGTTCGTTTCACATGTTCAATTTTTACACATAATATAAACTAGGGTAAACACACCAGTTATGGACAGGGATCCCAGTGATAGACAGATTTGATTATAATTTAAATAATAAGCTTCCTTGTTGATTTAAAGCTTCCATTTTTTCTCTAAATTGAAGAACAATGCCCTCTATTGACAACTGTATGAACAAAGTTTCCAAAAGAAAATTTTAAAATGCCTATCATTGTTGTTTCTATAGTGCTCTTGAGATGAAGTGTGTTTCATAACTTCCTGCTAACAGTTTTGCTAAGATTAAGTTGAACATTTATGTTATCTTATCTGTATTGTTATCTTAATAGTGAAATAAAGACTTCAGAATGTTTTCGAGGTATACCATTTCTGGTATCAGCTATATCACCAGTGCAGAAAGTTATTTGTTTTTTTTAATGAAGATTATACCCGTATAACTTTATATTTCTTCAATTTTTAAGTGTCAAATAGAAAAAGGAGACCCTAGAGATTCTAAATGTCCAACGGAAAAGTTTATAACTATAATAATTACAGCGGCATAAGCCAACAATTTTCTTTGCTATGTTCATCACTGGTGCTCTTACCCTACTACCTGTTTTTTTTACTTTCACTTTCGAATATATAGTAATGGTAAGTATTGCGATCGTGAAAATTTTTTAATCTGAATTCAACGGAAATATACGTTTTGAGGTCTCCTGAGTCCAAATAACCAAGTCCCGAAAAATGGTCTGTGAGTCTGTATGTATGTGAACAGTCTAGCTCAAAAGTCATACTTAACTGATATTACGTATTTAAGATAGGTATATTCCTTAGATATGGCAACAACGTTTTCCTCAAAATCGGCTAATCGAAAGTGCCACTTTATATCAACGGTGAAACACATTTTTACAAGCTTCTCCTCATAAATTATTGAATAATTTGATGAATTTTGCCTTTGTGAAATCCCAACATTATCCACTTACAATTAGTGTGACAACTTTTGACCTATCCATAGGAAGGCAATGAAAATATCATAATTTTGTTTTAGTAAACTTTACAATGGAAAATATCAGGTTTATAACTAATAGTTCTACAATCCATAATCATTTATAGGTTGAATATAGAGATATACACTTTCAAACCTCTTTAGGCATATATGAGCCTTTCGGTTGACAGAATGACTAATTCCAATTTCAAAATTCTTTATTATTAATTTTAGTGATGTTTCTAGTGGCAAAATTTATACCTTTATTGACAGTTCTGTATTTCAACACTGCAATCATCTACTCTTGAATCAACTTACTCTCTCTCTCTGTATAGATATAATTTTTTCAACTAGAAATATCACTAAAATAACATTACTCAAAAATGTTGAAATTGGAGTTTGTTATTCTGTCAACTGAAAGTCTCAGAGACTGAAGTTGTGTGGTTTATAAAAGCAAATGGGGTAACTAGATTGTTATTGCCTACCGTCGATATAATAAATAGACTTTTTGTAATTTTAATGGTCTTAATGATTTGTTATCTGTAGGCTTTAAGCTTCAGCTCCGTTTAAAATGCACTTCAAAAATTTAATAATAGCCTAACATTGGCAGAAAATAATTTCTATTCAAAGTAGAGGGGTAAGTGAAAGTTATGTGTTGCGCGCACCAGAAGTCTGCACCTATAAGGCCCTCATTCCAGTTTCTTTTTGGGCGACCTTTTTTTATTCTTCTTTCCAGTTTCACTTGTTTCCTTATTTCGTTATTTGGAACAGTTTGAAGGCAAGAGGCACACACAATATACAGTCTTTTGAAGGATATAATTTCACTTTATAGTTTCTGCACAACCCAAACATATTTTGTGCATATTTGGTTCTTGATGTTTATTTTCTCATTCCTCCATTCCATTCTTGGGTCTAAATCATTGAAGAAAAATCATAAGTGGTAATTGAGAGATGTGTGATGCATGCACCAAACCTGATTTTTATCAATGCTTTTAGTTTTACCTCCTTAATTAAGTGAAATTAAACCTGAAGTTGTAGAGTTAGTTTAATAGGGTTCAGTATAGAATGCAAGTATCAGTGATATTATAATCAAACATCCAGATTTGTAAGTTTTTAATTTATTTTTGTTATTATCATTATCAATTTCTTCTTATTTATTATTTTTTCATACTTTGTAGTCAAAAAGAATATGTGCTGAATGGATTGAAAATCCAGCATAATAAATAGTTTACCTTGACTGTCAGTTTTGTATTTATTAACGTGTCATCATTTAATGATAATATTAATTGTATTAATCTGAAACTGCTGAATTCATCATTTTGATTATAGTTTCATTCGGTAATCTTAGTTTCAAGGCCAAATGATTGTTAATTGTCTTTTTCATGTCATGACTATTAAGTAAGTTTTCTTCTTGTTTTACATTCTTAATGAACCTATCCATTTTTTATAGATGTATTTAAAGCATTACTTATCAAACACAAGTTTAACTTTTTTTAATTGTGGGTAAATGGTTGACTGTTGTGAATAATGAATAGAAGAATAGTTGAGGTAGTCAGACAGAAATAAGAAGATAAAAATAAATGATAATATTTATTTTGACATTTGCCGACGTTTCGACCTGAAGTTCAGGCCTTGATCAGGGCTAAGAAAAGAACCAGATAACAAGGTATGAGAAACATAAGTAGTGTAGGTAAAAAAAAATAAAGTAAAATGAAGTTGTTAGAATAATGACAATAATAAGAACTAAGAGATAAATAATAATAACCGTTACAAAGTGTGGAATGATGAAATAAACATAATAAAAAAAGGTGAAATAAGTATTAAAATGGGAATCTTGGGAATAAAATGTAAAACATAAAAAAGGAATATGAAGTTATATAAGAAATGAAAATAAATAGTAAAATTAAGATATTGCGAATAGAATAGTTAGTTAGAAAATTGAGATATACTTTGCAATATCTTAATTTTCTATCTAACTATTCTATTCGCAATATCTTAATTTTACTATTTATTTTCATTTCTTATATAACTTCATATTCCTTTTTTCTGTTTTACATTTTATTCTAAGATTACCATCTTAGTACTTATGTCACTTTAAGGATTTAAAAGACTCCCCCAGCACCGGGACGCGAACTCCTGACTATTTTTATATCTGTGATTCATATGTCAGGTTGCCGGGCAACGGCGGTGCAGTGCACACGCTTTAGCCCATTTGGTCACCCCGCCTACATGTCACCTTATTTTGATTATGTTTACTTCATTATTCCACACTTTGTAACGGTGTAATTAGTTATTTTGCCTTTTTATTTCTGACTGATCACCCCAACCATCCTTCTCTTCATGCTAATTCACATTTGCATACTAACATGATAAGAGACCTTATCACTAAATGTCTACATGTGGAGAGAACACTTCATATTTAAAATACAAAGGTACTGGATGAAAGATCTCATTCCTTAAAAAATTGAAGTAATAAAGTGGATATGCTGGGTACTGTCCTTGGCCACGCCTGACATATTATTTCTATAGGGTGTCTTAATTTTTAATGGCCAAACTCAGGGAGGTAATTTTAGACAAAATTTCCAGCAAAAAAAGTTCATTTGATGCATGGCTTCTAATTCCGAACGGAAAAGGAGTTAAAATCAATTTTGTGTCTTCCGTAAGGTGGTCACGCTTTTAATTGACTCAGAAGGATTTGCTCAAAAACTATTCAAGATAATTAAATTCTATGTACGCCATGGTAAAGTAGCTAAAATTTTCTTTAAGAAAACAGTAATTAAATTTATTAAATTAAGTTCAATGATACGACCATTATCCTACCTACAGTTCTTTATGCGAAACGTGGCCGCTTACATTAAGAGCTGAGCAACTTCTTAAGGTTTTTGAAAATAAAGTATTGCATAGAATTTTCGGACAGAAGAAAGATGGATTAACTGGAGAGTTCAGAAGGTTGAACAACACGGAGTTGCGTGAACTGTATCCAGTTAATATAATTGAGGTGATTACATCGCGGAGAATCAAATGGGCTTGTAAAATTGTTGAGCTTAGCAGCGAAAGAATTCCTAAAAGGTTGATATTTCCTCTACCAAATGATAAACATCCGAGAGGTAGACCGAAGCGAAGGTGGGAAGATTGCGTTAAAGCCGATCTGAAGGGACTGGGTTTGGACGGCGAACGGTGGAGGGAGGTGTGTAATAAGCAATTGGTGGTGTCAGTATCGATAGGGTTCGCTAAGCCTTTTTATTATACATCAAACAGAAAAAAGGAATATGAAGTTATATAAGAAATAATAAAATAAATAGTGAAAAATAAAGATATTTTAAATAGAATAGTTAGATAGAAAATTGAGATAGACTTTGCAATATCTCAATTTTCTATCTAACTATTCTATTCGAAATATCTTAATTTTACTATTTATTTTCATTTCTTATATAACTTCATATTCCTTTTTTATGTTTTACATTTTATTCTAAGATTCCCATTTTAATACTTATTTCACCTTTTTTTATTATGTTTACTTCATCATTCCACACTTTGTAACGGTTATTATTATTTATCTCTTAGTTCTTACTATTGTCATTATTCTAACAACTTCATTTTACTTTAATTTTTTTTTACCTACACCACTTATGTTTCTCATACCTTGTTATCTGGTTCTTTTCTTAGCCCTGATGAAGGCCTGAACTTCAGGTCGAAACGTCGGCAAATGTCAAAATAAATATTATCATTTATTTTTGCCTTCTTATTTGACTGATCTCCCCAACTTCTCTTCATTATTCACGGCAGTCAGCCATTTACCCACAATTAAAAAAAGTTAAACTTGTGTTTGATAAGTAATGCTCTAAATGCATCTATAAAAAATGGATAGGTTCTTTAAGAATGTAAAACTAGAAGAAAACTTGCTTAATAGTCATGACATGAAAAGGACAATTAACAATCATTTTTGGCCTTGAAACTAAGATTACCAAATGAAACTATAATCAAAATGATGAATTCAGCAGTTTCAGATTAATACAATTAATGTTTTCATTAAATGATGACACGTTAATAAATATAAAACTTACAGTCAAGGTAAACTATTTATTATGCTGGATATTCAATTATTTATTATTAAGTTCAATGATAAAAGGGACTTTCAGGAGATATAATATGACTGCTGAACTGCTTTTTGCGAATCAGGAATACAAAGATATGGTGTTCGTGTACGGGTACTGTAACGGCAGCAGTACAGCAGCTGTATTTTTTTATTATGGACCTCCTGAAAGTGTCTCTTATTATTGACCTTAATAAATGTAATCACTGTTTTCTCAAATTAAATTTTGTTCACTTTACAATAGTTTATTTAGAATTTAATTATCTTTTACAGTTTTAGAGAAATTCCTTCTTGTTCAATAAAAACTTTGACCAGCTTAAGAAAAATACAAAATTGTTCTTAGCACCTTTTCCGTTCAGAATCGACCCATGCATCAAATGAACTGTTTTGTTGGACATTTTGTCTAGAATCACTCTCCTCCCCCCACCTCTCTCCCCCCAAAGTTTGGCCATTAAGAAATGAGACACTCTGTACAAATTGTCAGCTGATTAGATGAATGGTGACAGTTAGTCGAAAAGTGGAAATTAATGTTAAAAAAAAAATGTTTGTATTCAACATTACCTGGTGTTCTTATGATATATATTAAAATTATTATTATTATTTTTTTTATTATTATGTTGCAGTTTTCTAAAGTATGAGAACTTGCCACCAGAATCACAGCCATGCTACAATTATGATGAGATGGTGGAAATTGCGCTATGCGGCTACAAGGGTTCAGTCACCAAAGAGGGTATTAACATTTTAATGAAAAGAGGAATGACTAAGATCGAAGGCGCAGAGAAATTCAAGTTTTGCAGGGATCTTAGACTCAAGGTATAAAATTTATATAACGAATATTATATTTAGTAGCGGTTTTATTAGTTATGTTTTTGTTATTGTTTCAAATTTTTTTTTTTTTTTTTATTAGTAGACTAATGTTGACAATAGTAAATGAAAAATAATATTAAAAGATTGAACGTTCTGATAACTGAAGGAATTTGGGAAAACTAGATAACTTGAATTATTTAAAGATTACTTTACGGTTTAAAATTTAAGTTTAATAAGATAAAACGTCTAACTTGGAATCCTCATACCAGACTGAAACGACAAGAAACCCCTCTCGAAGTTTCCGCTTACTCCAACACTTACTAGACAAACACTCTAAACTTTCTATTAATTACAAAAGACTAATATACATGACTATACAAAGACCTATTTGGACTTACGGAGTTGAGCTATGGGGCTCCACTAGACTATCTAATTCCTCTCGTATCCAATCCTTACAACCCAAAATCCTTCGTAAAATCCTCAATGGTCCTCACTTTGTCACAAATAAAATCATCCATAACGACCTTAATTTTCCTTATGTTTCTGACCTGGCCCAATCCAGATACCTATCCTTCCATAACAAACTTCAGAACCATCCAAACCCTCTCGTTTCTAACCTTGCTTCCTCCTCGATCCCTGACAACCCTCAGAGGCGTCTGAAAAAAAGATGGCATCGAGATCTCCTTTTGTAAATATATTTTTAGAGTGCTACCAGTGGGTAGTTTCTCAACAAGTGATTTCATGTTATTATATTATTTTGTTCACATTTACTGAATGTATTTTTATTTGTAATACAGTAGTAAATATCATCAATAAAAATAAGATAAAAATGTATATTAGGTTATAAGTGAAGTATTCCTACCTCACAGTCTTGTGTCATTAAAATGCAGGTAAAGAATAAAATAATTGGTCAACATTTTGCCAATTCAGGCATAATCACGACAGAAATGAAAACAAACCCTGTTTCTGTATTTTAGTGATTGTGTAGTTGGAATTCCAATTATAACCTAAATATTATTTTCTGTCTCTTGGTGAGTTTTTACTCTTTAACATCAATAAAAATCGGGTACGCACAACACAACTCTCTTTTACCTCTTTACTTTGACCAGAAATTAAGAACTTGAACCAAGCTCGGTATGGAGAAGGATGTTGCATCTGGATCCATAGATTTATGTACTGACTAAAATAAGCACCATGAGTGGGTGAAGTTGGAGTCAATGCCATCTACTTTAAGTATTAAGTTTGTGCTTATATTTGCGTATTAAGTATAAAAAGTATTTTAAAAAGCCTACGGATGTGAGGCATGGTCAAAGAATGCTGGCTTGTATGCCAAAATTCGGACTGCAGAAATGGATTTTTGGAGGTGTCTACAGTTAACGAGGCTGGACAGAGTCCGAAATGAAGTGGTGAGACAGAGAATAGGTGTAGAGGAGACTGTCTATGAGAGGATCGGGAAACGGCGATTGAAGTGGTATGGGCACTGCAGGAGAATGCCGGAACAGCATTGGCTGAACAGAGACATGGTAGCCACCAGGAAAGCGTAGGCGAGGACGACCCAGAACCACGTGGATGGAAGGAGTCCGAGAAGAGATGGCCGGCCGAGGTCTACAGGAGGGTGACTGGGAGGATAGAGATGTGTGGAGTTCTGCTCTGACCTGAAGAGGTATCCCACGTTGGAACACTGGAAATAACATAACAACATAAGTATAAAAAGCAATGACAACTTCCTTATAATGATAAATATGCTTAATTTAAAAAAAATCTAATTTATTACATGGTTTTAAGGGTAATTTAAAACTTTTAAATTAAAACAAAATAAAAAATATATTTTTCAATGTTGTAACAACATATTTTATTATTATATTTCTTTATTGCTATAATTTGTAGGATGATAAAAAAAAAAAATAATAGATTTAAGTGATCCTTGATCTTCATATTGCACAAAACATATTTCATAATCTTATGTTGTGTTATAGGTTGCAGGATTGGGAATGCCATCGTTGGACATTGTTCTAGAAATGGCAGACAAGATAAAGTGCCGCTACTTAAACATTCGAGCGATGGACGGGCTGAAGCTGGAGAGCCCAGAAGTGTACCCGATGGTGCTCGAGCGGCTAAAGACGACCTGCTCTTCGTTTGCCTATCACGAAGTTAAAGGGACACATCACCTACATCTTAATACTCCGGAGCTCATCGCACCGATCATCATTCCGTTCCTCAAGTCGTAGGCTTTCGATTGCTGCTTAAGAGTGCGCCATCTTGCTGTGCTTAATTAAATCTCACTGCTCTCAATTTAAAATGATTGGGTTTGTGCTTGGCTTTGGACACTTATACACTAATAATTGGTCGATTTATTTAATATTAAATTATTTTTTTTAAATATTGATAATGACTGATTGTGAATGTAAACTAAAAGATTTATTTTTTGAAATAAGTACTAATAATCTTGATACTTTATTAAGCCTCCTAAATCATAAATTACAAAATGGCAAATGACAAATTTTTCTTTTGTGTCCAAAGTGAACTAGCACGACTTACGATTGAAAATTAATGTTATTCACTCAGTCATTCCTTTGAATAAATTTTGAATTGATTGTATGGTGCTGGTATTTAGTATAGTTATTATTTATTGTATTTATTTAAAAGTATTATTTACACTTCTTTTTTTTTTCATCTGTTGGCATTTCAGTCTTGTGATAATACAGTAAGTTTCATGACATTGTTGATTTTTGTCAATTTACGAAGGATTTTATTAGCTTTCATGACTACATCTAGTCTTGTTTATCTTAAAATAGTTACTTCCTAATTTAAGTATTTATTTGTTTTTGTTTTTTTACAATCGATTAAAATCGATGCCTTTCTTACTTTCTCATAGCATTTATGAGTTTTTTAACATGTGGATTTTTTAAAAAAAAAAGACATGTTAATATTCAATAATTACGTAATCAAAGATTGTTGTTATTTATTGAAGTTCCTTCTAATAAAAACATTTATTGAAATAGCTTACCTTGATTCTCTTTTCATTTATTTATTTTTTCCCCGTTATCTCGCCTCTCAGTAATACGAATTTAGAAGAGGTAATACCTAATTTGGTGTCTTGGCTATGCTACTCACTCTACATTTATTTTGATTTTCAAAATACTTTTTTATGTTTTATATATACATATATATTGTTTTTAGGTTGATGGAAATATGATAAAACAATTGTTTGTTTGTTTCGATGTCTTGGCACAAAACTTCCAAGTTATAAGCGCTCGATCAACTAAATAACACCACTTAATACTGTTTGAATGGTTGGTATTAAAAAATAAAAATAAAAAAAAAGGATAAAAAAATAAAGAAATGGATTGATAGAATAAAATAAATAAATAAGGATCATTTAATTTAATAATAGACATTTATAGATAATAAGATAAAATAGATAAATAAATTAACTTTTAAAAAATAGCAGTAAAATCAATAAATGAATTAAGATTAATAAACAAATGAACTTGAAATGAACAAATGAAAAAATAAATAAATATAAAAAATAGAATAAAAAAAAATAAATTAAAAAAATAATAAATCTGCAAAGGATCATTAATTATAAGCTTGTCATATATGTTTTTTAAGACTTTCACTATCCAGTAACTTGATGACTTTGGTAATGATTTCTTCTTGGTTTCCCAGGGAAACTGATATATTCTGGGGTATTCCGAGATCTTTTAATCTTGGGGTGTAAAAAGGGCACTCTTCCAAAATATGTTTTATAGTTAGTGATAAAATAATTCAAGTATCATTTAATTCTGTATATTTTTACATTTATTAATTGTTGTATATTATGACATTTATTTGTTTGATAGACGGATTTTTACATGATGTACCGAAATCATCTTTCAGTCAAAACCTAAATTAAAAGAAAAATTTAACTTATAAACATTTATTTGATGTATAAAACATTTAAATAGAATATAAATAAGATAATGGATATGACACAAATAACTGAGAAAGGACATGCCTTGGGTTTAGATAAATCTGCAACTGACAGTTTCCAAATGCTCAGAACCCGGAACGACCGCACTGAGTTAGCTTCAAGGGATTAATGAATGTACAGACCAAGCCACTAGTCAAATTGTGAAGACGGGACTTGCTCCTACCTCTTTAAGTGGCAACAACCAAGGCGGTATGTATATGTATCCCGTCCACACCAGTGATCCAACTCCTAAGAGGAAGGCATGTATCTCGTCCATAGTCAAAGGATTAACTGAGGCCCCTACATGCAGGCTATGCGACGTTTTGGCTTGGCTTTGGTATTTTCATTTTGGATATCCTAATCTCTGCAAATTGATTGATCCCTCTAGCTTATAAAAATTTGCAAGTTCAATATTCATTATTTTTTGTTATTGCAGTTCATCGTAGTCTGAGGTAAATAAAAAATGCCGGCCACCTCCATTGATCTTTCATTTTTCTCTCCTCCTAATATTTCTTTTTACATGAATGAGATAAAGATGGTTTGACCCCACTAGGATAAACATACCAGTGATGGACATAGCTAAGAAAATGTTTGGCTTATGCCACCGTAATTATTATAGTTGTAAACTTGTTTTTTGGACGTTTAGAATTTCTAGGGTCTTCTTTATCTATTTAGTACTTTAAAATTGAAAAAAATATTGAGTCATACAATTATAATCTCCATTAAAAAAAATCTGTTGTCTCCACTCACACGACTTTCCTACCTATTTCAGAAAAGTATTTATATCTTTACATATGTTCATGAAGAAACAAAAAAAAATTGAACTAGATTTATTTTTCTGAAAATTAATCAAAGAAAAGATTTGAGTACGATTTATTTGATAAACTAAAGCAATGTAAACCAGCTTAAGGTAGATCAGTGTAAAGAATTCAATACTCTCTAATATTGCTGATCAAAAACTTTTTTCTATAGCTTAGTATTGTCAAACAATAATTTCTGTTAAAAGTAGAGGAAATAGTGAAGCTTGTGTGATTTTGTTACTTTCACTTAGTTATCTTTTTTCTCTCATTCACCGTTTTCTGACAACAGGGTATGAACCCGTAATCTTACATTGGAAATTGAATAGCTGTAACTTCGTTAATAGTAGTTCGAAATTAACGATTTTTATATAATTTTGTAGAGAATTCCGGGAGGCACTTGAAACGTATATCAGAAATTTAACCTGATCGCTATACTTTCCTTACCTAGTATAGGTAGGAAAATAATAAATTAAAACATGTGTAAAAAATAGAATAAGCTGTATCATCGCTAATACTGGGTTGATTCCAATGTTTTTTTTGTTTTTTTTTTGTTGGTAATCTAATTACCTTTCAAAAGTTTTATTATAAATTTTACCATAGAATATATAATTAGCGAGTCAGGCTCCAAAAAATTTTTTTTTACTTTGTAACTTTTTTGCTGAATTTTCTCAGGAATTTAGACCATGTACGAAAATTTGAATGGCAATTATTAGAACATTATAGGAAAGTTTCATCAAAATCGTTACAGCCGTTTCCGCGCTACACTCTACAGAAAAACGTGTTTTCAATTTATTGGGCAGCAGCTATTGGGCATGGAGCACCCAATTTGTGTTAGAGGTAGTCAAAACCCTACAAAATAAAAAAAAAGAAGCAATAAAATCGATTTATTAGTTCCCGAGAAAATCTTGGTACAGACAGACCAATGGCTAAAAATGTGTTTTTCGAACTCAGGGAGCTCTGAAACGTATAGATCCGTCAAAAACTGCATATCGGAAATTTGACCTGATCGCAATACTTTCCTTACCTAGTATAGGTAGGAAAGTAAAAATTAACACATGTTTGCACTTGTGATGGACACCCTGAAATTCAAGTTTTCTAGTAATGTACAGGGGATCGGTACCAGTAATGGACATACCTCAGAAAAATTATAAAATTTTTATTTAACTATAGAGATAAGAAAAGATAAATGTTCAACTTACTCTTAGCAAAACTGTTAGTAAGAAGATAAGAAAGACACTGATCTCAAGAGCACTATATAAACAACAATGATAGGCATTTTAAAATTCTTTTGGGGGAACTTTGTTCATACAGTTGTCAATAGAGGGCACTGTCCTTCAATCTAGAAAAACTGGAACCTTTAAATCAACAATGAAGCTGGTATGTCCATCACTGGTGTGTTCACCCTATTTCCTTTTACTCGTGAATGAAAGTTATTTTTTTATCCTTACCGATTACTGGAGAGAAATCATCATCTGTGATGTAGAGTCCGGTTTCCCTCAGTAGCTTGGCTATTATATCTTCAAAACTGGTCTAGATTGTTATGATTTGCTTGGAAATTTAGCGTAACAAAGGCATGAAACTTGGCATAAAATAAAATAAAAATATTTTATTTTTAATTTTCACTGAAACTACAATCCTCAACCAACTTTCTAACCACATTATCTACAATCATATTGTACATAGGTGTGAATGTGTTTTATTTATTTTGTTATTATTCGGCTAATCTGTTATTTTACTTATCTTGTATATTACTTTATCTTTTTATTTATATATATATATATATATTTTTTTTTTCTTCATACATATTGTGTGAATGAATACTATAGCCCTAGTATCAATGGCCTTCAGTGTGGCAGACTGTATTAATACTCAATAATACAAAAAAAAAAAAAAAAAAATTATCTACAATCATTTATTTCTACACCATTAGATTTCTAAAAATTGTAATTCATTTATAATTATATACTCTGTGGTATATGTTCATTCCTTTGTTCCATGATTTAAAAGTTTCTCAAATTGAGCTCCCAAAAAAAATTTAGATGCCTTTAAAAATTTAGACCTCTTCCGTCTAAAATATATAAACATATAATAATTGTGTCCCCTCAAAAATTTTGATGGTATAATTTTTGCATGAAGCCCAATAGGAAATGCAAAAAATGGGAAAATAATTCTTTTCCATTGATTCATATTTGTTTCAACAAGTGATCGTACCATAACTGAATGGATGGTAAAAGTAGCATATTTTAGTCTAGTATGCCATTATTTGATAGTTGATTTAATTCTTTACACCATACAGTGGTGCCTATCCCCTCCCTTCAAGGTCTATGGTGCATTAGCCTTCCTCCTCCCCTTCCCAAGATATTTTTTTATTTTTCTCCTCTTCCTTATAACAATGCAAATGAAAAGAAAAATTAAAAATATTGTGGATCATATACAATTACACTTGCAGCTGTCTGTTCCTTGTTTTTCTCTTTTCCTTGGTTTGAAACTTTCCATTCTAAAAATTCACGACTTCGCCAAAATTTGCTCCCCTCAAAAATTTAACACCCTGTCTAAATATTTTGAAACCCCTTTCTGGGCACATCTGATACTATATAAAATAATG